TGGGCCCTGCACCCGCATGGGAGACCGGGAGGAAGCACCTGGCTCCTGGCTTCGGTCGGCGTGGTATGCCAGCCGCAGCAGCCATTGGGGGGTGAACCAACGGAAAAGGAAGACCTTTCTCTCTGTCTCTCTTACTGTCCACTCTGCCTGTCAAAAATAAATAAATAAATAAATTTTAAAAAGCTCATTCTAGGTACTTGAAGGAAAATGGGTTGAAGAGACAAAAATGGAAGCAGAAAGACCATTTATGATGCTACCACAATTACACAGAGAAGCAAGCAGTTGGACTAAGTTAAGACACCATGTTTAGGGGCTGGCGCTGTGGCATAGAGGGTATAGCCACTGCCTTCAGTGCCGGTATCCCATAGGGAGGCCGGTTCAAGTCCCACCTGCTGCTCTTCTGGTCTAGCTCTCTGCTATGGCCTGGGGACCAGCAGATGGCCCAAGCACTTGGGCCCCTGCACCCACGTGGGAGACCTGGAAGAAGCTCCTGGCTCCTGATCGGGTCAGCTCTGGCCATTGCGGCCATTTGGGGAGTGAACCAGTGGATGGACGACCTTTCTCTCTGTTTCTCCCTCTCTGTCTATAACTCTCTCTCCCTCAAATAAATAAATATATAAATCTTAAAAAAAAATAAAAAGACACCCATGTTTCACATGGAAAGAGCTGGGAATGCAACCCACGTACCAGACCTGGGTTCCATTCCTGACTCCAACTCCTCACTCCCAGCTTCCTGAGGACGGAGACCTGGGAAGCAGCAGTGATGGCCTGACTAACTGGAGTTCCTGCCATCCGCATGGGAGACCTGGATTATGTTCCCAGGTCCCCTCCCCACTTCGGCCCCAGCCCAGTCCCAGCTGTTGCAGATATCTGGGTAATGAACCAGTAGATGGGAGTGCACTTGCCCTGTGTGTGTGTGTGTGTCTGGCTCTCAAATAAATATCTATGTGTGTGTGTACATAATTGTATATAGAGATAGTTACTTGGAGTAGTGCTGTTAACACTGCATATGAAAAGGAATGCATAAATCTAGATATATTCTGGAGGTAGAATTAAAGATTTATGGGTAGATTAAATATAAAGTGTGGGACCAGCGCCATGGCCAGTAGGTTAATCCTCCACCTGCGGCGCCGGCATCCCATATGGGTGCCGGTTCAAGTTCTGGCTGCCCCTCTTCCGATCCAGCTCTCTGCTGTGGCCTGGGAAAGGAGTGGAGGATGGCCCAGGTGCTTGGGCCCCTGCACCTGTGTGGGAGACCTAGAAGAAGCACCTGGCCCCTTCGGATCAGCACAGCTCCGGCCGTTGCAGCCATCTGGGGAGTGAACCAATGGAAGGAAGACCTCTCTCCATCTCTCCTCTCACTGTCTGTAACTCTACCTCTCAAATAAATAAATAAAATTATATATATATATATGTGTGTATGTATGTGTGCATATATATATATATAAAGCATGAGGGGAATATATATATATATAAAGCATGCAGAATCGCTGCCAGGTTTCTGGCCTGAGCAATGGAATCGCTACTGAAATGGGGAGCACTGGGAGGGTCAAGGGGGTACACCAGGTTTGAGAGGGAAAATCAAGTTCTTTCTTTTTTTTTCCAATATGTATGGCTTATAGGCTAAATACAGCCTCCAAAGCTATCAGGTCCTAATTCCTGGAACCTGTAAATGTCACCTTATATAGGAAAAAGGTCTTTGCAGAGGTGATAAAGATCTTCAAATGGGTACATTATCCTGGATGAGCCAAGTGGGCCCTGAATGTAATCACACATATCCTTATAAGAGGGAGGCCGAGGGAGGTACCACAGACAGGACAGGGGAGACAACATGGCCATGGAGACACAACTGGAGTGAGGACGGTGGCCGCCCGCAAGCCAGCAGGGCCAAGGAAGGGATTCTCACAAGCACCTCTGGAAGAATGTGGCCCTGCTGACACCCTGATTTCTGCCCAGCTGAACAGATTTCCCATTTCTGGCCTAAAGAGTCATGTAAGAATAAATTTCTGTTGTCTTGAGTCACTGAGTTTGTGGTACTTTGTTAGGGCAGCCACAGGATCTAACAGTAAAAGTCTGAGATCCCTGCAAAGGAGACAAAGAGAGCTATCGGTGTTAAGAGTCTGGAGTTCACAAGTTATTGTTTTAGCTATTCCTAAGGGTTTGAAAGTTGCACTCTTACCTCTAGGTCCTTTCGAATGCTCTCAAACTCTTCAATGTCATCAAGCTTGAGCTCCAGGCGTGTGGGTTTCCGTCGCAGCATACTGAAATCTACACTGAGAGCAGATCCAATCAACTATGAGCTATTAAAAATGACAGAGAGAAAAACTGGAGGTGATACGTTGCAGTTACATACATAAGGCCAATTTCTACACATGTACACTAAAGTGAAGGCAACAGCAACATCAAACTTGGATTCACACATAGATCTCTTTCTTTTTTTGAAAGGCAGAGTGACAAAGAGATGGAGAGGCAAAGAGAGAGAGAGAGAGATATCTCTCATCCACCATAGTTCACTACTCCCATGGCCACAGTGTCTGTGGATGAGCCGGGCCAAAGCCAGGAATCAGGAGCTCCATTGGTGTTTCCCAAGTGGGTGGCAGGGGTTCACACACACCGGCCATTATCTGGTGCTTTCCCAGGCACATTAGAAGGGAGCTGGACTGGAAGCAGAGCAGCCAAGACTCTGATATGGGATGCCATATTGCAAGATGTGGTTTACCTTCCGTGCCACAATGCCAGCCCCACACATAGATTTCTTAAGGCTTTAGGTGTATGCTTCTTACATTTGTATTTCATGATGGAGATCCACAACGTGGTGATTCTAAAAACCTCTTTCTGAAAAAACTGAACACCAGCAAGCTGCCTATAAGAAAATCCTAGGCAAAACTGAACTCACCAATTCACAAGATTCTCTTCAGTGTCTCAATCAACCAGACAGATCACTCATTAGCAAAGACTTCTTGTGCTCTGGCTACAAAATTAAAAGGTACAGACACAACCTGTGGGAGAAACAGACACGTGAGGGGAAAATTAACAGCGAGGGGAGCAAGAACACTGATGAGAATACAATGGCAGCCACGCTGGCCCGAAAGCTGGACTAGGTGTGGGGTGGTGGCCAGGGATGTTAAACACGGCCTATGGCAGGAAATGATGTCTAAATGAAGTCTTAGTCGACATCTAAAGAGCAGGCAGAGAGAACAAGTGCACAAAGAAGCTCAAGAGAACAGTCTGAGTCAAGACAATACTTTTAACAAAAACCATTTCTTTGAGCAAACAGAACTCCCCATCACATTTAGTATCTGTTGAGGGGCACCTTCATGGCACCCAATAGAGTCTGTGTATGTACATTAGGCAGTCAGTAAATGTTCCCTGAACATAGGAAACAAGTAAAATGAACTTGAGTGAGCACTGGGCTAATTTTTCCATCACCATTCTTCACTTCCTTACTTTAATACGAAAACCCTGTGAGGCTGGCAAGATCGTCCTATTTTACAGAGAAAGAAGTCAAAGCAAGCTGTCCAGTCTGGCCTCCTGTAGGAGTCACACATAGGACCGTGGGGTGAGGATTAAATGAGACTGATGTAAATGAACGCCACTGGCTGTACCCAGGATGAAACCGGGGACTGAGAAGTGCATAAAAGAAGAAACATTTCCTCCTCCTCCCACGAAGCCTGAGACAGACACGCAGTGGTAACACAAAACATTACTTTTTTTTTTTTTTTTTTTTTTTTTTTGCGGCTCACTGGGCTAATCCTCCGCCTTGCGGCGCCGGCACACTGGGTTCTAGTCCCGGTTGGGGCGCCGGATTCTGTCCCGGTTGCCCCTCTTCCAGGACAAAACATTACATTTCAATTTGCTTTGACTTAAATCTGATACTGTCCACCAGATTCCAATGCCGACAAGCAGCAGAGGAAAACGAAGTTCCAAATGGGGTGAGGAAGGGATACTGAGAAGATCGCTATGCATTTTAACTTTTCTGCGAAAACGAAAAGCCCACCACCACCACTAGGAAGCAGGGTAGAGACCCGGCTGAAGTGCTGGCTCCGATCCCTTTAAGTTTCCGATCTTTGTCTCGCACCAGACCTTCCTTGCCTCTATACTCTGTTGCTGTCTGAATTGAATGGCGTAATGCCGATTAAGCTCCTGGCTACACAACTGTGGTATTCAGTAAACGCTCAATAAATAACAGGCACTTATGACTGCAGTTGTTGGGGGCGGGGGGCGGAAGAGATAACGATGGGGGAGGGGGGTGTTCCAGCTCTGCAAACACGAACATTTTGAGTCTCCCACCCACTACATGCCTTGTTCATCGCTGATGCCCCCGCACCCAGAGGAGCACAGGGCTATGCAGGAGAGTCGGCTGCGGTCTACCCGACGCCTTCCTAGCCATCATCTCACTCAGTCTGACACAAAGACCCGGCTGAAGACGAAACAAAAGCAACAGCAAAACCGGGCCGAAGCTTCGCCCGCTCTTTACTTCACTTAGACGCTAGAGGGCTCTTTGAGCTTCATCTCTCACCGCTGCCCAAATCCACCGCAAACTGAGCCAGCTCGGCCGGAGCCCCCGGCCCCGGGAGGAGGACTTTCCTCCCCACCCCCACCCCGACAACCCTCCTCGCCCAGCCCCAGGACCACACTCAGCGGTCCGGGCGATGGTTTCCATGGCAACATGGGCCTCCGCCCCGGGACGACGTAAAGTCTCTAGGAGCCCTCGGTAAGCTCCAGAGTTCAGCGCCCGGCCGCGCGACTTGACTCACCTCCCTCTCTCTCCAAGCCCGCTCAGCCCCTTCCCGGAAGGAACCTCAGCTCCCACCACGAATCTACTGCGAGCCCAACTGGACTACACTTCCCAGAGTGCTTCGCGCCCCTCTCCCCTCCAGAACCTCGTCTCCCGCGAGCTTTTCTCGGAGGTTCTAAGGGTCATGCCCCTCCACGCGACCAGAATAGTAACTACTACGACTCCCATGATGCTCCGCGCCGCTCAGGGCGCTGCGTCGGCGCCCGACTTCACTTCCGGTCCGTGACGCAGTTCCGCTTTGCTGGGCGCGCGGTGGATGGTCTGAAACGGAGAGCTTGGCTTTTTCTGGGGCTTGGCTGCTGCGGAGCCCAGCATGGCTTCGTCACGAGCCTCCTCCACGGTACGGAGCTCGGGATCTCAGTTCACTGCGGCAGGGAGCGCCGAGAGGGTGGGGGTCCCTCGGGGAAGGGTCCGTTAGGGAGCGGGCTGACAGGGTGGAGGGCTGCCGGACTCGGTCCTGCCCTCCAGAGCAGAGCAGCATTCCCCGGACCCTTGAGCGAGTGTATGTGCTGTTACTCGTATGCACCTGTCCCACCGCAGCCCCGAACGGCAAACACCACTTCCGACTGGTCCAAGGGCTCCGGAGTGGGCGAGTGTCTTGGCCACGGTGGCTGTCTATAGGAGACCTCGGAATTGGGGTGAGGCCTCCCGGCTCCTGCTCTGCTACCACAGGTCTCAAAACGCTTGAGATGGACCGAGCAGGAGCGTTGTCACTGGCTACCCCTCCCTCGGCACCACGCCGGTTCTTTTACCTTACCCTTGGTGTTTCCCCCCGTGTTAAACGGTAACCCTGGAAGTATCACGAAACCCAAAAAGAGCTTGCACTTCCAACAGAATGAAGTGATCGTCTTCCAGAGACAGAACCACCCGGAGAACCGGGTTTAATCCACCTCTTCTAGCTGTCAAACTGGAAGTGATTGAAGGGCTGACGTGCCCTCCCGCCCCCATCCCCACACCCGCGGGTCCGTGAAGCGCATCTTCCCTGGCGCCCAGTTTGGCCTTTTGTTGGGGAAGGTCAGGATGAACTTCACCCTTTAGGGAAGCCTCGTGGATTGCTAAGATCGAGCCTTGAATTAATCGAAGCCTTCGGTCTAGCAGGCCACCAAAACGAAAGCGCCTGATGACCTGGTGGCTCCGGTGGTGAAGAAGCCACACATTTATTATGGAAGTCTGGAAGAGAAGGAAAGGGAGCGGCTGGCCAAAGGAGAATCTGGGATTTTGGGAAAAGAAGGACTTAAAGCAGGAATTGAAGCAGGAAATATTAATATAACCTCCGGTAAGATGACAGATTTCAGTCCATCTTTACCTTTACCTCCAGTTTTCTGTAATGCGTATGTACCTTCCTAAGCTTAGATAGCTGTAGTTTTATGTTACAAGTTTTCAATTTTTAAACTTGAATCTATAGACTCATATTTTGCTTACACTACCTAGCATCATCCAGGAGCCTTTTTTTTTTTTCTTACAGAATTTTTTTTTTTTTTTTTTTTTTTTTTTTTGACAGCCAGAGTGCACAGTGAGAGAGAGAGACAGAGAGAAAGGTCTTCCTTTTTTTGCCATAGGTTCACCCTCCAATGGCCGCCGCGGCCGGAGCGCTGAGGCCCGTGCACCGCACTGATCCGAAGGCAGGAGCCAGGTGCTTCTCCTGGTCTCCCATGGGGTGCAGGGCCCAAGCACTTGGGCCATCCTCCACTGCACTCCTGGGCCACAGCAGAGAGCTGGCCTGGAAGAGGGGCAACCGGGACAGAATCCGGCGCCCAACCAGGAATAGAAGCCGGTGTGCCGGTGCCGCAAGGCGGAGGATTAGCCTAGTGAGCCGTGGCGCCGGCCCTACAGCTTTTAATATACTGTTTTTCCCATGAATTATTAGTTCTTTTACCAGAAATTTTTTCAGTGCACATTTGGGATTTAAGTGGTTACATTTGTCTCTTGGAGAGCTAACATCATTCCAGCTTTGGTTTGAAACTAGAATAGTTTATAATGCTCTCCTGTTTTTAGTTCTCCAGTTATTTTTTACCCCCCAAATTATTTAAATATAAAAGTAGCAGTTTGTTATTTTGAAAGATGAAATGATGTGAGCAGGTGTTTGGCCTGGGGGTTAAAATGCCACTTGGGATATTTGCATGCTCCAGTTCAGCTCCCAGCTCCGCTTCAGGTTCCAGCGTCCTGCTGATGCACACCATAGGTCCAGGCTAAGTGCTTGGACTCCTACTGCCCATGGGAGACATCCAGATTAAGTTCCAGGATCCTGGCTTGGACCTAGCCCAGCCCTGGATGTTACAGGCATTTGGGAAGTGAACCAGCCCAAGAAATATCTCTCTGTGTCTCTCAATCAAAAGGAAAATAAGTAAGTAAACATTTTTAAAATGAATTGATTAAAAGATCATACAGTGTTTAAATGTGCAATGTGCAGAGTAAGAAGTCCTGTATTCTTTAATATCTTTAAAAATTAAAAAAAAAAAAAGGTTTATTGTATTTATTTGAAAAAGCTAGAGAGAGAGATTCTCCATCTGCTGGTTCACTCCCCAAATGGCCACAATGGCTAGAGTTGAGCTGATCCAAAGCCAGGAGCCAGGAGCTTCTTCCAGGTCTCCTACGTGGGTGCAGGGGCCCAAAGACTTGGGTCATCCTCTGCTGCTTTCCCAGGTGCATTAGCAGGGAGCTGGATCAGAAGTGTAGTGACGCAGACTCGAATTAGTGCCCATAATAGGATGCCGGCGCTGCAGGCCAAGGCTCACTGTGCCACAGCACCGGCTCCTCTTTATGCCTTTCTGTATACACCTTTCTGAGAATTTTGATACAGTTAGAAAAATACATAGTTTTTTCCATAAGTGAAATTGTGATACATAAATTATTTTGCAACCTACATTTTTCACCCTACATATTGTTAAGGATATCTTTTCCTGTCAGTAACAAGCAGACCACTTTTTTTTTCAATAAGGTTTCATAGCACCAAGCCTGTTTTGTTTTTCTTTCTTTTTTTTTTTTTATTAAAGATTTATTTAATTATTTGAAAGTCAGAGTTACACAGAGAGAGAAGGAGAGGCAGAGAGAGAAAGAGAGGTCTTCCATCCGCTGATTCACTCCCCAGTTGGCAGCAACAGCCAGAGCTGTACCAATCTGAAGCCAGGAGCCAGGATCTTCTTCCGGGTCTCCCACACCGGTGCAGGGGCCCAAGGACTTGGGCCATCTACCACTGATTTCCCAGGCCATAGCAGAGAGGTGGATCGGAAGTGGAGCAGGTGGGACTCAAACCAGTGCCCTTATGGGATGGCGGCACTGCAGGCAGCGGCTTTACCTGCTAGGCCACCACGCCAGCCCCACAGCCACTCTGTTTTTCAAATAAAATTATATCCATCTGTAGTAAGAAATTGAAAAAGGGCATAAAATGAAGACGCCTTTCCTGAGACCACTTCTGTGGAGTTTCTCGTTGGTCCTCCCACTTGGCTGCTCTTCCTCATACGTGCACATCTGTGACTCTAAACCTTTATGCTGTTTCTAACACCTGTTCTGAAACACCACCGTACCTCTGTTTTCGTCCAAATGCTTCTGTTTGTAAGGTTTTTACACTAGTTGCTAAATAAAACAAAAAAACTCACAGAAATCTCATTTTCATGACAGTTATTTCCAGGTAACTGATCAGAGTTGGTAAGTGTCCCTAGTCGGGGACTGTTTTAGAGAATAGCATTGGCAGTTGTTAAAATAACATTTCTTTTTGTTTGTTTTAAGATTTATTTCTTTATTTGAAAGAGTTACAGAGAAAGAGGGAGAGAGAGGGATCTTCTATACGCTGGTTCATTTTCCAAATGGTCACAATGACCAGGCTGGGCCAGGCTGAAGCCAGGAGCCCAGAACTCCATTTAAGTCTCCCATGTAGGTGGCATGGTCCTAAGTATTTGAGCCATCTTTTGTTGCTTTCCCAGGCTCATTAGCAGGGAGCTGGATTGGAAGTGGAGCAGCAGGACTCATATCAATGCTAGAACTGCAGCTTAACCCACTGCTCCACAAGGCCAGCCCCTAAAATAACATTTTTGTCATATCTTTTTGATAGAAGGCTTGGTTAATTCATTTGCTAAAAATGTTCTCTACTCTTGGGGCCTGCACTATGGTGCTATGGGTTAACACACTGCCCTGTTGCACCAGCATCTCATATGGACACTTCCAGTGCAGCTCTCTGCTAGTGCACTTGGAAAGCAGTGGAAGATGGCCCAAGTCCTTTGGCCCCTGCATGCATGTGGGAGACCCAGTTGAAGCTCTGGCTCCTGGCGTCATCTGGCCCAGCCCAAGCCAGTGTGCCATTTGGGGAATGAAGCACGGAATGGAAAATATGTCTCTGTCTCTCCCCTCTCTCTGTAACTCTGACTTTCAAATAAGTAATTTTTTTTTTAAGATTTATTTATTTATTTGAAAGGCAGAGGTACAGAGAGTGAGAAAAAGAGACAGATCTTTTATCCGCTTGGTCATTCCCTGAATGGCTGCAATGGCCAGAACTGACCAGGAGCTGCTTCTGGGTCTCCCACATGGTTGCAGGGCCCCAAGAGCTTGGGCCATCTTCTGCTGCTTTCCCAGGCACGTTAGCAGGGAACTGGATCAGAAGTGGAGCAACCAGGACTGAACCAGCTACCCAAATGGGAGGCCAGCCCTATAGATGGCACCTTTACCCACTATGCCACAGTGCTGGTCCCAAAATAAATCAATCTTTAAAAAAGAAGAAGAAGAAGAAGGGACCAGCGCTGTGGCGCAGCGCGTTAACGCCCTGACCCGAAGTGCCGGCATGGGTGCGGTTCTAGTCCTGGCTGCTCCACTTCCAATCCAGCTCTCTGCTGTGGCCTGGGAAAGCAGTAGAAGATGGCCCAATTCCTTGGGCCCCTGCACCTGCGTAGGAGACCCGGAAGAAGCTCCTGGCTCCCGGCTTTGGATCGGCGCAGCTCTGGCCATTGTGGCCATCTGGGGAGTGAACCAGCGGATGGAAGACCTCTCTCTCTCTCTCTCTCTCTCTGCCTCTCCTCTCTCTGTGTAACTCTGACTTTCAAGATCTGGTGGTTATGTTGGTGCTGCCTGTTCTCTTTACAGGAGAAGTATTTGAAATTGAAGAGCACATCAGTGAGCGGCAGGCAGAGGTATTGGCCGAGTTTGAGAGGAGGAAGCGGGCCCGGCAGATCAACGTTTCCACAGATGACTCGGAGGTCAAGGCTTGCCTTCGAGCCCTGGGGGAGCCCATCACGCTGTTTGGAGAGGGCCCTGCTGAAAGAAGAGAAAGGTGCCCTTTCTAAATAGTTATTCGTTTCTTTGTTAATCACAAGATCTTGTTTCAAGTATTAGTTGATCTTTTAACTGAAACTTTAGTAGTGTTAACAGTATCTACTTGACATTTGTGTAGTTTAGCCCATAATCCAAATCTTGGGCCAATCTTTGCTCCACTAATATTTCTTTTTAGACTGAAGAGGGTACTAACATACTGCCCTCCACTCCCCAGTGTGAAGTTTTGAGTTGGATAAACATTTGGTTTTGAGCTTTGAAATGTAGACAGCAAATGCATTTCCTGTTGGTGACAAAACATAATGATCAGTGTTCTTTGGATGCTTGAGAGGGGCACTGCCCTGAGATGATGCTCCTCTTGCGATTTTAAGGTTGCAGTCTCTTGATGATGGGCTGGTTGTGTGCAAGGACAGGACCTCCATCCACTGTCCCATCTCCTCCCTTCGAAAGGTTGCTTATGTTTATTCTCTTAGGTCCTTACTCCTCATCTTCTCTTCAGCCCTTTCACACTGTTGAGCCCTACCACACTGACATTTATTTATTTATTTATTCATTTATTTTTTGACAGGCAGAGTGGACAGTGAGAGAGAGAGACAGAGAAAGGTCTTCCTTTGCCATTGGTTCACCCTCCAATGGCCGCCGCGGCCGGCGCACCGCGCTGATCCGATGGCAGGAGCCAGGTGCTTCTCCTGGTCTCCCATGTGGGTGCAGGGCCCAAGCACTTGGGCCATCCTCCACTGCACTCCCGGGCCACAGCCAAGAGCTGGCCTGGAAGAAGGGCAACCGGGACAGAATCCGGCGCCCCGACCGGGACTAGAACCTGGTGTGCCGGTGCCACAAGGCAGAGGATTAGCCTAGTGAGCCGCGGCACCAGCTGAAATTGTTTTTGATTAAGGTTGCCAGCCCATCTTTACTAAAAACAGCCCAGTACACTCCGTCCTTGAAGCATTGCCTTTCCTTCACTCTCCTATAACCAAGTCCTCTTGATTTTCTTCTGTTCTCTCAAGCTAATTCCTCACACTTTTTTTTTTTTAAAGATTTACTTATTTATTTGAAAGGCAGAGTTAAAGAGAGGCAGAGACAGAGAGAGCACTCACTCCCCAGTTGGCTGCAACAGCCAGAACTGCGCTGAGCCAGGAGCTTCCTCCAAGTCTCCCCTGTGGTGTAGGGGCCCAAGGACTGGGCCATCTTCTGCTACTTTCCCAGGTGCCTTAGCAGGGAGCTGGATCAGAAACAGAGCAGTCAGGACTTGAACTAGCACCCATATGGGATGCCAGCACTGCAGGCAGTGGCTTTACCTGCTGCACCGTAGCACCAGCCCCTCTTACTCATTGTTGTATCTGTATTCAGCCGGGTGTGGTATTGAGTGAAGAGTGGCTGTCTTCACAGGCTAGCTGGTAGCACTGTAGGGGTGGTTGACTCTGGAGCAGATAGGATAGTTAATTGCTGATGGTTGGACTTAGGGAATCTCCAAATAAGAATAAATGAAAGAAGTCACGCTGGAAGTTTAAGCACCCCCACTTACCTCTTCAAGAAGGTGCTAGAGATTTAAAGCTTGAGAGAGTAGTGGAGGCTTGCCCCCTCTTTTTTTTAAAGATTCATTTTATTTATTTGAAAGAGTTAAAGAGAGAGGTATAGACAGAGAGGTCTTCCATCCACTGGTTCACTCCCCCAGATGGCCACAATGGCCGGAGCTGTGCTGATCCAAAGCCAGGAGCCAGGAGCTTCTTCCGGGTCTCCCACGTGGGTGCAGGGGCCCAAAGACTTGGGCCATCTTCTACTGCTTTCCCAGGCCACAGCAGAGAGCTGGATTAGAGGAGGAGCAGCCGGGACCAGAACCGGCGCCCACATGGGATGCCGTTGCTTTAGGCCAGGGCTTTAACCTACTGTGCCACAGCGCCGGCCCTGCCCCCTTATATGTACAGTACTCTGCCCCTCCTTTTTTTCTTAAAAAAAGATTATTTATTTATTTGAAAGGTAGAGTTACTAACAGAGGGAGAGACAGAGAGAGAGAGAAAGGTCTTCCATCCGGCGATTCAGTCCCCAATGGCCGCAATAGCCGGAGCTGTGCCAATCTGAAGCCAGGAGCCAGGTGCTTCTTCCCGGTCTCCCATGCGGGTGCAGGGGCCCAAGGACTTGGGCCATCCTCCACTGCTTTCCCAGGCCATAGCAGGAAGCTCCTGTCTTCAGCCCGTCCAACCCCAGTTGTTGTAGCCATTTGGGAGTGAACCCACAAATGGAAGGCCAGGCTCTCTGTCTCTCCCTCTCTCTTTAAGTAACTCTGCCTTTCAAATAAATAAGTCTATAAAAATTGTTAATTCCATAAATAATAAGTAAAAAATTCCAGAAATAATTTATAAGTTTTCAGTTGTGTCCCATTCTGAGTAACATCAAAAAATCTTATTAGGTCCTGCTCCATCGCACTCAAGACATGAATCAGCCTTTGTCCGTGCTGTAAGTGCTACCCACCTGTTAGTATGTGCAGTACAGTGCGGTGCTTTGAGGGAGAGACTGTTCTATTTTATTATTAGTTACAGTTACTCATCTCTTACTGTGCCTGATTTATAACCTGAACTTTACAGTAGGTGTGTACAGACAGAAAAAACAGTGTATGAGGGTTCAGTGCTATAAGAGGTCTCGGACACCTGCTGGTGGTCTTGGAATGTGTATACTCCATGCATACAGGGAGGAATGTCCTGCACTTTGCTACAGTCACGTCGCAGCCTTGTTTAGGTTTTGATCTTTTTGGGGTAGGCATCGTGGTGTAGCCAGTTAAGCAGCCACTTCAGACACCCACGTCCTGTCTTCAAGTCCTAGCTACTCGGCTTTTGACCCAGCTCCCAGCTAATGCACCTAGGAAGGCAGCAGGTGATGGCCCAAGTACTTGGTCCCTGGCACCTATGTGGGAGACCCGGATGGAGTTCTAGGCTCCTGGTTTTGGCCTGACCTACCTGTTGCAACCATTTGGGGAGTGAATAACCTCTGACTCTCCCTCCACCACTCCCTCTTCCTGTCTCTCTGTCGCTGTCTCTGTCTTTCTCTCCCTTGCTCTCTCTCTGTCACTCTGTCTATTCAAAAGGTAGAATTAGAGGGAGGCAGAGAGAGAGAGAGGGCTTCCATCCGCTTGTTCACTCCCCAGATGGCCGCAATGGTTGAAGCTGAGCTGATCTGGAGCCAGGAGCCAAGAGCTTCCTCCAGGTCTCCCATGTGGGTGCAGGGGCCCAAGGAATTGGGCCATCCTCCACTGCTTTCCCAGGCCACAGCAGAGAGCTGGATTGGAAGTGGAGCAGCCGGGACTAAAACCGGCACCCATATTGGATGCCAGCACTGCAGGCGGTGGCTTTACCTGCTATGCCACAGTGCTGGCCCCAAATAATCTTTTTAAAATTTTTTAAAAATAAGTTTTGGTCTTTTTGTTTCTTTTTCAGGTTAAGAAATATCCTCTCAGTGGTTGGTACTGATGCCTTAAAAAAGACCAAAAAAGATGATGAGAAATCTAAGAAGTCCAAAGAAGAGGTAAAATATGTCTGACATCACAGTGTCTGTATGTAGCAGTATATATGTAGTGGTAGTTGTTGCCAGTAGTTTCTGGTTCTTGTGTCATATGCCTGGAGCTAAGTGAGTTTTTCATTCAGAAGAGAACCATGGTATTCCTCGTATACCTTAATAAGGAACCAGAGACCATCTAACAAGAAAGAGCTGTTGACAGCACATAGGCTTCTCCAGGTTACTGAACCAACTTACCTGTCTCTGGGCTATAAGGGTAGCAGATTGACAGCCATGGGAGGGGTGGAAATGCTTCCAACTTAACATTTCTTCTGTTGATTTGCCTCTCAGTATCAGCAGACCTGGTACCACGAAGGACCAAACAGCCTCAAGGTGGCCAGACTGTGGATTGCCAACTATTCCCTGCCCAGGTGAGGAGGGCCCCAGGGGGAGGAAAGAAGCATGATTTTTTGGGTTTCCTCTCGGCCACTGAAGATCTGCTTTATGATGACTGTGGTCACTCCGTGCTGTTGAGTGGCCTGGACACACGTGTGGGCCTTTGCTTATGGTCATGATGTCGTTTGTGTGTCGCAGGGCAATGAAGCGCTTGGAGGAGGCCCGTCTCCATAAAGAGATTCCTGAGACAACACGGACCTCCCAGATGCAAGAGCTGCACAAGTCTCTCCGGGTAAGATCCTCTCGGCGGCCGTCCACTCCAGTAAAGGTTCTTACTCATTAGATTCTCTGCTTTGGCCTGCCTCTGTGAAGGTCAAGGTGGCTACAGTTAGTCCTCCCTGCCTGAGCCGTTGTGATACTGCAGAGCCTTGGGTTAAGGTGGTGGGAAGTTCCTGTGCTTTGTATTCGACAGAGGCCAAGGGTTCCACTCTGTAACTCCCCTTAACCTGTCCGAGTCACAGATCTCTCCCTGACACAGAAGCTCATGGTGCCGAGACTGTATAAAACAGTGTGCCAACAAGACCTTGGCCCCTTTCAAGATAAGCGTCTCTCAACAACAACAGTGTAGAGTCTTGGATGGGGGAAGCTGCAGGGTTCCTTTTTTTAGTGGTGGAACAGCAAGGAACTCTTGGGGTAGCCTATTAATGATCACCATTTGTTTGTCTCTCTTTCTTTTTTATAAGTCTTTGAATAATTTCTGCAGTCAGATTGGAGATGATCGGCCTATCTCCTACTGTCATTTTAGTCCCAATTCTAAAATGCTGGCCACAGCCTGTTGGTAAGTTGCATTTTACAGTGGCATTTTCCTAAGTGGGGGGTAGGTAGAACAAATTAGCCTTTGTCTTAGGTCCTCCTCTCTGCTCAAGGTCACTGCACTGCAGATGCTGGAGCTCAGCGCTCTGTAAGAAGATCCATGGAGCCCTTGTTGAGCCGTTCTCATTGTTCACTGGGAGCGCCCAGAAGCCATGACACGTAGCCGTCTGTCATGTTCTTACACTAGCATTTTGGAGCAAGTCATTTGGTAGTGTAGAGACCAGGAAGTAACCACGCCTCAGGACAAAATGTTTTACAGACGCTGTGTCACCCCACTCCACACTCAGGGACCCTGAACTTACAGGGACTGAGAGAGAAAAGCTGTGCTAGGTGTGGAGGAGGCTGAGACAGGACCTGGAAAGCATTGTGCCCTAAGGGTGTCTGCTACGTGGTAAGGACTCAATAGAGGCTATTCATTGCTTTTATCTTTATTTTGCTTTCCACGTAGAAGAAACTCTTAGGATGTAATCGCTTGGTTGTGTTGTCCTGTGTGGGGCATGGCTGGCCGGTGAGAGACTAAGATTGGGTGCACGGGAACCGCAGGACTGGAGGCTGAGGCTTGGTTCAGGAGAATGCCGAGGCACTCACCCCTCGCTGCAGCCCTCCCGGCCTGGGTGACCGTCCCTGCAGAGTCAGCGTGGTCATTCCTGCCTCGTCCGCCTCACAGGTCTCTTACAGAGATCACCTGATATAATAGGTGGTTTATTGGAAAATGCCCAGAGTAAGTCTTTTTAAAGAATTGTAGGGGCAAGATACTACTTAGTATTTAAGAAGGTGGTACCATTGTTACTAGATCATTTGTCCCCTCTTCCCTTGCAAACTGATCCTCTAGTTGCCTAAGAGCCAGTGCTAGCCCTTCTGTAGCCCTTCGCATTATAGCCTTTTCTTTCTCTGTTGCGGGTGGGAAGAGACTGTCCATTAGTGATGTTACCAAGATCCTTTTCCTTCCCAGACCAACCCTGGCTGAGATGCTTTCCTTTGTGTTTGATAGGAGTGGGCTTTGCAAGCTCTGGTCCGTTCCTGACTGTAACCTCCTTCACACTCTGCGAGGTAAGAGAGCGTTCCCAGTATGCACTCTGTTTGGCAGAACTGCCGGGTGCTCAGATCCATGACACACAGTGTAATTCTTGCTGCGATTTGAATTGCCTGGTCTTCTCTGACTGTAAGGCTGCAATATGACTTCATACACGTGTAACTTTTTTCTTATATCTACCCATACTCTGACATTTTATAATCTACACCAAAAAACAAAGTTTTTGTGTTTTGCCTTTTTTTTAATGTAACTAAAATATTGATTTAAATTAACATAGTTCTTTTTTTTAATCCTTGAGTAGTCACTTTACTATGTCTCATGTTCCCTGATATGGAATGTATATATGCATATGTATACACACGCACACACTGTGTTATTCAGTATCTCTCATCTCTTACACTCCTGCAGGCCATAACACAAATGTAGGAGCCATCGTCTTCCATCCCAAATCCACCGTGTCCTTAGACCAAAAAGATGTCAACCTGGCCTCTTGCGCTGCTGATGGTTCTGTGAAGCTTTGGAGCCTTGAAAGGTCGGGTTACTCTTTTGCAGTCTACTCTGTCGGCACCAGCCTTTGATTGGTTGGCACTTGGGACCTCTGGGTTAAAAATCTGGCATTTAACATCAGAGCTGCTCTAAGAGTGAAGGCAACTTAGCATGAAAATGGCATGGAAGATTTCTTAGACCTTTTGTCACCAGTGGAGTTGTGCCAGGTTTTTCTTCCCCATTAACTTTGGGCAAAGTGGCCACTGTTTCCTGGCTCCAGTTATTCTGGAAGGATCCAGCCTACCTCCTACAAGATCGATAAACAAAGAGGAGTACCGGATTTGGTTGGTGGAGTAAAGGGAATCCTCTGGGCAGCCTGTTGGTTCTTAGCACAGAGCCCCAGGGGAGAGGAAGGTGAGGCTGTCTCCTCCCAGTGGGGTTTCCTACCTAGGATAGATTTCCCAGCCACAACAAAGCTGTGGAAAATGTGGTTATGACGCCTGCTTCCTCCAGAACTTTTAGGAGTACCCTGTTGGCTGAAAGACATCTGAAATCCGATGCTGCTTTTCCTTTCTTTGGGAACACACAGGAAGGTTTTTATTCCAGAGTTTTTATAGAGCTAATTCGTGTCCTCCAGTCTAGGCCAGATAGGGTCTTGGGTATGAGCATAGTTTTAATTGGCTTTGGTAATACTCAGCAGCATTTATTCCCCTAGGGCTCTGGTTAGTTCTGTGTATGCACATGGACAAAGTTCCCTTCCTAATTGCCCTCCTTAGGGTTCATGTTTGTTTCCTTTCTCCCGTGTTTCAGACCTTTCTGTGGTTGCTGGGTTACAGTTTAACGGCCATCAAAAGGAGCCCAAGCCTCTGTCTCTTTAGGGGTTTCTATTTCCATCTGGATCCTTGGAACAGGCTAAGAATGGAGAAAGAAATACCTGTAACCCAGTCCTGTCGAAGCTACCTGATGTGTACCTACATCTCCACTGAAGCATGTTTTCTTTACAGAATCTGAGCGCTGTTTTGTGCAGAGTGACTGGCTTACTTAGCAGGCTGAAATATTTAATTTTCCTCTAATCCTAAGTGGTACAGCATTATGAATTTATTAACACAGCAAGTTGAGGTGGTGGTCAGTTTGTCCTGTGGGCACGTGTCCCAAATGTTTTAAAACTTTGGAGAGTAGCTTAAATTACTCTTAACCTAGAAGTTTTAATACATTGTAAGTGTTGTTACAGTTTAGCCTCTCAAATGTACAGAAAGGGTGTATGTGCACAACAGCTAGTAAATTCAAAGAATATATATATTTACTTGTCTATGTTTTGTTTTTTCCAGTGATGAACCAGTGGCAGATATTGAAGGCCACACAGTGCGTGTGGCCCGAGTTATGTGGCATCCATCAGGACGCTTCTTGGGCACCACCTGGTAAGCCATCCTCTTACTGTTCTGTCCATCCAGGCCTGTGGCATCCTATTTCCCTTTATGGCTGTCTGCAAGTTAAATTTTTAGAGCAGATATCTTCAAGTAGAATTTTCTTGGGCTGCAGTAAATCAAAATCAGAAGAGAGTGTCTGGGGCCAGTGTTGTTTTTTGTTTTTTGTTTTTGACAGGCTGAGTGGACAGTGAGAGACAGAGAGACAGAGAGAAAGGTCTTCCTTTGCCGTTGGTTCACCCCCCAGTGGCTGCTGCGGCCGGCGCACCACGCTGATCCAAAGCCAGGAGCCAGGTGCTTCTGGTCTCCCATGCGGGTGCAGGGCCCAAGGACTTGGGCCATCCTCCACTGCACTCCCGGGCCACAGCAGAGAGCTGGACTGGAAGGGGAGCAACCAGGACAGAATCCGGCGCCCCGACCGGGACTAGAACCCAGTGTGCCAGCGCCACAGGCGGAGGATTAGCCTATTGAGCTACAGCGGCGCCGACCTGGGGCCAGTGTTGGAGCACAGCACATTAAGCCACCACTCATAACACTAGCATCCCTTATCGGAGTCTTATCAGTTCTCTGCTAATGCCCCTAAGAAAGCAATGAATGATGGCTCAAGAATTTGAGTCACTGTCACCAACATTGGAGACCCGGATGGAGTTCTGAACTCCTGGCTTTGGCCTGGCCCAGCTCCAGCTGTTGCAGATTTGGGGAGTGAACCAACAGACGGAAGATCTCTCTGTTTGTCACTTTACCTTTCAAATAAATAAATAAATAAAAAGGTGAGTGTGATATAGTTAGGGCTAAGTGTATTTTAGACTGCAATTAATCTGAAATTTCTTATTTTTTTTTTTAAGATTTATTTATTTACTTGAAAGAGTTACACAGAGAGAGAAGGAGAGGCAAAGAGAGAACGAGATCTTCCATCTGCTGGTTCATTCCCCAAATGGCCCCAACAGCCAGAGCTGCGCTGATCCGGAGCCAGGAGCCAAGAGCTTCTTCTGGGTCTCCCACATGGGTGCAGGGGCCCAAGGACCTGGGCCATCTTCTACTGCTTTCCCAGGCCATAGCAGAGAGCTGGATCGGAGTGAAGCCAGGACTCGAACTGGCACCCATATGGGATGCCGGCATTGCAGGTGTTGGCTTTACCTGCTCCACCACAGAGCCGGCCTCTCCCCCCTACCTTTTTTTATAAAAGATTTATTTGTTTATTTGAAAGTCAGAGTTATATACAAAGAGGAGGAGAGGCAGAGAGAGAGAGAGAGGTCTTCCATCCACTGGTTCACTCCCCAGTTGGCCGGAGCTGTGCTGATCCAAAGGCAGGAGCTTCTTCCAGGTCTCCCACGCGGGTGCAGATGACCAGGACTTGGACCATCTTCTACTGCATTCCCAGGCCATAGCAGAGAGCTGGATCAGAAGTGGTGCCCATACAGGATGCCGGCACTTCAGGCGGCGGCTTTACACGCTACACCACATCACCGGCCCCTGAAATTTCAATGATTACTTTCTAGAAAACTAGGATTTTCAGTGCTGCTTCTTTTTTTGACCTTTTCCAGAGGCGGATCTTTGTTGGTTGGTTTTTGTTTGTTTTTGCCACACATTGTATTGTAATCCCTGCCAATAAGTGAGATTCCCTTTCGGATGCTTTCAGTTCTGTGAGGCCAGAATCATTTGCATTGAGATGTACCTTACATACAGTGGAGTGGATTCTCAGTGTGCAGTTCACTCAGTCTTGACAAATGCAGTAGCAAGAATGTGTCCGTTGCCTGAGAAGGTTCTCTCTTGCCCCTTCCCAATCAACCTGCACTTTGAAAGCAGCCCCGATCTGGTTTCCATCACCTTCAGTTCACTCTGTCCATACCATGTGAACTCATCTGTGGATAGCTTCTTTGACTTGGCATAACGTTTTTAGGATTCACTCTTGTTAGCATCTGTCAGTAGTTCCTTTTTATTGCTAATCGTATTTGATTGTATGACAGTCCTAAGGTTTATTTATGTTCTGTTGGTGGACACAGGCTTGTTTCCAGGTTTTGGCTAGTCAGGGTGAAGCTGCCATCATTATTATGCACAGCTTTCTGTAGAATGTGTCTTTCTTTCCTTCCTCCTGAGTAAATACCCAGGAGTACATTGCTGGGTCATGGGGTGGATATATACTGAACTTCTTAAAAACTTCCAAGAAGCTTTTGACTGGCTTTTTTTTTTTTTTTTTTTTGACTTCATGTCCTGTGTACAGCCAGTTCCACCACCATTATTGAAGCGGGCTTTGGTGCCCTGTTGAAACCTTTGACATCTGTGTTCTCTGTTCTGTTCTATTCATCTCTGCATGTGATACATTGTTTGTAGCTCCAACATCCAGTTTAGAGCCCAATAAATATATAAATGCGTGATGAATGCAGGGAAATAACAATGGAATGGAGGAAGGAAGAAAACCACAGAATCTTTCCTGAGTTATTCTTAAAGAAGTCTGATCTTAAAATAGTCACTGGTTTCCCTGTTAGCCCCAAACAGAAAGCTTAGCAGTTGAGGCATTGTTTATCCCAGAGAGGAATTTCTTGTTGATATGCTTATATGGCTAGTTTCAACAGAATAACTTAAGCCACAATTGTTGATAGTACTTTGTACTGTTTAGAAGTTGAATAACTCTCTGCTGAAGAATCGCTAGCATTTTGTTTTTGTTGTAGTTACGACCGTTCCTGGCGCTTATGGGACCTGGAGGCCCAAGAGGAGATCCTGCATCAGGAAGGCCACAGCATGGGTGTGTACGACATCGCCTTCCACCAAGATGGCTCTTTGGCCGGCACTGGGTAAGGCCCCTCCCACGTGGCCAGGCAGCTCGGTAGGCCACCCCTTAGGTATTCCTGTTCCCACAGACCACTGCCTTCAGACTGTTCATTTGTAAATGGTTTTGTCAGGGGACTGGATGCATTCGGTCGAGTTTGGGACCTGCGCACAGGACGGTGTATCATGTTCCTAGAAGGCCACCTCAAGGAAATCTATGGAATAAACTTCTCCCCCAATGGGTAAAGTAAACTCGCTGCATAGGGGGTGGAGAGGGCTTTGGGCCAGAAGGCGCCCTTGGCTTCCAGCTACAGTACTGCCTTTGTCCACAGCTACCACATCGCAACTGGCAGCGGTGACAACACCTGCAAAGTGTGGGACCTGCGACAGCGGCGCTGCGTCTATACCATCCCTGCCCATCAGAACTTGGTGACTGGCGTCAAGTTTGAGCGTAAGCTGCCTTCTTATTTTAGGCTTAAACAACAGTCAGACGACAGACAGACAAGGATTGAGCTTCCGTAGAAGACAGGCTAGGCTTTACCTTGGAGAGCATTTGGCTTCTGTTAAAGAGAAAACTTCCTTCCCTCTGAGGCCTTTAGAACCACGGCAAAGCTTGTCGTCTATTGTTGGAAAGCCGAGGAGGGCCCCATGAATGCTTGGCTTCCTGCTTTCTTCCATGGACAGTCTAAGCGCTGAATCCTTAGTAGAACTCTGAAAGGATTAAGGATTATCTGGCAGGAAAAGAGCCAGAAAGACCTTACTAATGTTACAGTTCCCCTCCGTCTGCCTGTGCTTGTCCCCTTTATCTGAAAGCTTTCTGGATGTAGAAATAGCCTTTTTCTAAATAGTGTGTTTTTGCAGATTTTTTTGCCTTTGCTTTCCTGTGCTCTTTTGAATTCTCAGATCCCTCGGCTCTCCCCTCTTCCCCTGCAGCTATCCATGGGAACTTCTTGCTCACCGGTGCCTATGATAACACAGCCAAGATCTGGACCCACCCCGGCTGGTCCCCGCTGAAGACTCTGGCTGGTCACGAAGGCAAAGTGATGGGCCTAGACATTTCTTCTGACGGGCAGCTCATAGCCACTTGCTCCTATGACAGAACCTTCAAGCTCTGGATGGCTGAGTAGACAAGGCGATGGACAAAGGACTCTGAGTTCAAGCTCTCCTAAGGAGCCATTTCCCTCAAAAGAAAAGAATTGATGTATTTGGTTCTATCATGTTTCCCACCAATTACCATGCATAGGCCCTCAATAGAATTGGATTCCCATGCCAGCCCCCGCTGTGGGCAGGCAGCTGAACCCCTTTCATGGTTGCCACAAAGCACAAACTGTGTAGACCTTATTAAGCTTTGGTCCGATTGCCCTGTCACCTCCCTCACAGCACTCAGCATTGTGACTGACTCTCCCCATTTTAAATTCATGAAACTTGGCTTTCTGTAACAGGGTACGTGCTTCAGGACCACATGTGACCCAGAGAGCAAGGCGGCTGGACTATGGAAGCTCCCCCATGCGTTGGTTAGCCCATGCCTGGCAGCCAGCACCTCTCCTCTCTGGGAGACAGGAGGCAGGGCCGCCGGCGCCGCTGTGCAGTAAAGAACCCCATTGGGCTCTGGGAGCTCCAGCTGCATCAGAACTGAACGTGTGCCTTGTCAGGAAGTCTCTTCCACTTTGCTCTGAAGTTCAGCAAGGCCGTTGTGTCAGGAGTCAAAGAAATTTCTAGAAAGCAAAGTGGGGTCTTTTGTACAGTCTTCTTTCTGTTGGTTATTTAAAGGATGTGCTTCATGTTTTTGATAGAATTTTCTGTCAAAGTAACCAAAAAAATCCCTAATGTCTAGTCCTAAGCATAAACTTTTTCTTTATTACACACTGGCTAAGAGTAAAACCCTATTCTGAAAACTATCCTTTTAAGATTTATTTTCTACAGTTAAATATTTTCTGAATCCCAGTCACTGGTCCATAGAGGTCTTTTTTTTAGCTTGGAGTGTAGCAGATGATCTCACCTATGAATTACTCCAGATTCTGTCTCCTCCGGAAGCCCTCTGTGGGCAATGTTTTAAATAAAATGGAGGGCTGTTTGCATGTGGGCCAGGCTCCCAGTGAGGTGTGTCTGACGGTCAGTCATCAGTCATTTAGCAGTACCCTCACCTCTTCCCACCACGAAGACACAGCCTCTGAACTTCAAAATCACATAGTAAGTTCACACAGAAGTAAGGATTGGTGGAAACAAGTATCGTGTGTAGAGGAAAAGTAAGGATTTACATGGTGACTTGCCCTTGGATGTTTAAAACACCATCCCCCCTCCTTTTTTGAGTTGAGAGACAGAGCTTCTTCCGTTGGTTCATTCCCCACATGCCTGCAACTGCCAGCCCTGGTCTAGGCCAAAATCAGGAGCCTGGAACTCAATGCAGGTTTCCCACGGCGGTAGCAGGAACTCAAGCACTCAACCCGGCACCTGCTGCCTCCCAAGTGGTACATTAGCAGGAAACAGGACTGGAGCTAGCAACTCATGGGGAATGTGAGTGTCCTACGCGGCAATGTAACCAGTGTGCCTACCACCCGCTCCCAGATCCTTTTATTCGCTGTTCCAGAGGGGCTGGCTTTATTGGAGTCTGTTTAATTGATGATCAAACATACTGTTCTCACGTATAACCGAAGGGTTGCATTTCCTGTGTGGCTCAGCTTCTGAGGCCTAGGTCTCCCTTTGTTGGGTATGTTATGGCATTTACTAAGCTCTCTTTCCTTCATAGGGAATTCATTCTTTTCAGAAATTATTTTTCATTACTATCTCTGTCGTATTAATTCCCTTAGGCATGTTTTCTTGTTTGTTTTGGGATGCTGTTCCAAGAGGTAGCAGCTGAGTGGAAACGTTTCGTCCCCGCCTTTGGCAGAACAGATACCTCCTGGCCACAGGAAGTAGATGTCGTTGTAAGTGGGTAGCTGAGAAGCAGTGGCACCTCACGATCAAGGTGAGCTGCACGCCCTAGCCCTAGCGGTCAGTGCCGTCAGTGTCAGTCAGTGTCGTGCTGTCAGTTAACGAAGCACCTACTTACACTGCTCCAGGCAGATTCACACATCGTGTTGACCCTTCACACTTTCATGAGTTTATTGCCTTTTTACAGGCAAAACAGGCTCAAAAAGTTAACTAACTTGCTCAGAGTTACTCAGTAAATGGTGCTCCCTAATTTGAACCCCAGTCAGTCTGACCATTTGTGACCCATGAAAATATTTCACAGGTCTGTCGAGTTCGTTGACCACTCAGGCGAAAAGACCAGCGCAGCCAGCGTGACCTGTCCTGCGCGAGCCAGCCTGTCCATACTCCATCTCAGGCACTGCCCCTTTGACAGGTCATCTTTGGCTTCATGCCAAGTGGAGCAGATGAGCTCCTCCTGCCTCGTGACCTTACGAGGAACCAGTTGTGTTTGTCCAGTGGGATAACTGCATTTTAGGATAGGTGACATCTCGTGGAACACCGCATGCATCTTAGCGTCCCTGACCTCAGAGCCTTAAGCGTCAGGAGCATGACCCCTGTTGACTGAGTACTAACGATGCTTTAACGAGTGTCCCCTGAGGAAGGCACTATCCCAAGCTTAGCGCATCTGAGAGTGACAACAGCTGTTAGGGTGAAGTGTGTCCTCCCCTATCCAAAGGCTGTCAGACCTGAGTCTTTCCTTACTTGCGTGGTGAATTAACCACTCCACAAACAGGAATTCTGTTTTGACTGAAACAACACCTAGTGGATGACCTTGAGAAAGCAAGGGCCGGGTCACAGAGCCTCTGTTCAGCTATGCAGTGGGGATGAGGCGCACGTAACTGGAAGCAGGGGCACTTGTGCAGAGGGGAGTGCGCTCTCCTGGGGCTCCCCCAGCTCTCGTCTGTCCCTCTGCTCAGAGAACGTGATGGGATCCTGGCCTGGCTGCCCTGCTGCAAGGTTAAGGAGCAAAGAGGTATAAAGGAATGAAGTCAGTGGGGGGAGGCTGAGTCCCAGCTTCACTGTAATTATCTTGGATGCCGCAAACAGAGAGGTAGGCACCGGTCCCCTGGTGGGTGACGTGGGCAACTTTCCGGTTTTGCAATCGGAAATTTTCTGTATGTTGGAGCTTAAAACCACTTGGTTTTACTCAATACAAAATTCATGTCTTAGCTATTAAGACCCCTTAAAGGAGTTTATGGAAGCTAGTCTCATTAAACTCCTATTTACAGCAAATAAGACAAACATTCTGGCCTCTGAAAGCTTATTCTACAAATTTTTTTTTTTAATTTTTTTTTTTTTTTTTTTTTTATTTTTTGACAGGCAGAGTGGACAGTGAGAGAGAGAGAGACAGAGAGAAAGGCCTTCCTTTGCCGTTGGTTCACCCTCCAATGGCCGCCGCGGCCAGCGCGATGCGACCGGCGCACTGCGCTGATCCGATGGCAGGAGCCAGGAGCCAGGTGCTTTTCCTGGTCTCCCATGGGGTGCAGGGCCCAAGCACCTGGGCCATCCTCCACTGCACTCCCGGGCCACAGCAGAGGGCTGGCCTGGAAGAGGGGCAACCGGGACAGAATCCGGCGCCCCGACCAGGACTAGAACCCGGTGTGCCGGCGCCGCTAGGCGGAGGATTAGCCTAGTGAGCCGCGGTGCCGGCCCTATTCTACAAATTTAAAAGAAAAAGGTTATCTTTAAATAATTGTGATTTTTTAAAAATGTTTATTTGAAAGGCAGTTAGCGAGAAGCAGAGGCAGAGAAAGTCAGAAAGTCTTCCATCTGCTGGTTCACTCCCCAAATGGCCACAATGGCCAAAGCTGAGCTGATCTGAAGCCAGAAACCAGGAGCTTCCTCCAGGTCTCCCACGTGGGTGCAGGTGCCCAAGGCCTTGGGCCATCTTCTACTGCTTTCCCAGGCCATAGCAGAGAGCTGGATCAGAAGTGGAACAGCCAAGACTTGAACTGGTGCCCATGTGGGATGCAGGTGCTGTAAGCCAAGGCTTTAACCCGCTAAGCCACAGCACTGGCCCCATGTGATGGTGTTTTAACCACTTTGAGATTGTTTCAGAGCCCTGAGCCACCAGGCAAGGTTAAAACTAGGGAAACGGGGGCGGGTGTTGAGGAGAAGCAGCTGAAGCTGCCACGTGGCATTCCTGCACCCCATAGCAGAGCGCAGGTTCAGGTCCCAGCCACTCCACTGCTGATCTAGCGTTCCTGCTCTTGCGCCCAGGAAGCAGCAGGTGGTGGCCCAAGTTCTGGATTCCAGGTCTCCGTGTGGGAGACCTGAGTGGAGTTTCTGGCTCCTGGTTTGGCCTGGCCCAGCTCTTGCAGGCATTTGGGAAATGAACTAGTGGATAGAAGATTTTCTCTCTCTCTCTCTCTCTCTCTCTCTCTCTCCCTCTCCCCCTCCCTCCCTCCCTCCCTCTCCCTCCTTCCCCCCTGTCACTCTGCCTTTCAAATAAATATTTAGAAAAATAAAACCAGGGAAGCAGAAATCCAAGTGTTCAGTACCAAGGCAACGACTTGCCAAGCCTCTCTGAGCATTCAGGTTCTATCTCGTTCCCTTGGTCCCTGGATTCGATGTGGTCCCGCACCTACTACTGCAGCCTGCGATAGAAGCCAATGCTTTGCCTCTGCCCAGGGTTTCGCTCTCATGTTGTGAAGAGCTTGTGGGAGTGGAGCCAGAGCTCTCCTAGTACCTTCCTATTAGGGCCTCTGCACCCACCCAGAGGGATAAAGACCTCCCCCCAACCCCCCACCCCGCAAGCCCAGATTTCTCTTAGCCCTTGGCTCCTGATTCTTTGACCTTTAGACTTTTTTACTCCTGTGGCTCTGAACTCCGCTGACACAGGGTCACCCTGCATTCTGAATGCCCATGGGACTGCTGGGAAGGACGCTCCCAGCCTCATACTCATAGTCTCCTCCTCTGTCCCCTCAGTTCCGGCTCCAGCCCCAGCCCAGTCAATGGTCGTAGAATGGATACGGGAGTCAACGGATGAATGCAGACCATTTTTACTGGGGCTGGGGGAAAGACAGCCAAAGAAAGTGCTGGAAAGAGGAGACAGGCACATTTGCCCACAGAACGGAAGCTCACTTTCCAAATGTTTTAGCAACACACAGCAAAAAAGAACGAAGTAAAAACAACAACAACAAAAAACAACACATGAACTAAGTTCAAAGCAGCTCCTGTGGGAAATGCAACTTGTGGGGCTGGTCTGGAACCCGGGTACCATTGCCCAGTCCTTTGGCACAACTTGCTGGGTTGCTGTGTAGTCAGACGGCTTCTCTGCCCTTCGTGACCCCCGAGGTCACACCTGCAGGTCTCACCACGTCTCCTAACCCTTCCGCCTCTCCCCTGACATCACAGGAGGGCCCGCCAGGAGCGACGACCCAGGGTAAGGGCTCCCTGGGCTGTAAAACGACCTATGCTTCTGAGGATGACGGCAAATGAGCTCTGTCCAGCCGCAACCCAGAAACGCTTCCTGCCTGGGAGCAGAGGGCTCAGCCCACCCCCCAAAGAAACTGCCTGGTCCAGAAGATGGAGAAGATGAGCAGCAGGGTGACGCTGAGGATGACCGCCATCAGGTAGGCAAAGATGCGGAACTGAGGGTTGCGGAAACACCTGCGCAGGGAGTCGCGGCGGGGACGGGGGATGGGCACGGACGCCGTGGCAGGGGCCACATCCTGGGAGGCCACGTCCTGAGTCTGGGTCCCAGGCTCAGGGCCCAGGTCCAGTGTATAAACCCGAGGCTGGCGCAGGAAGTAGCGGCTCTTGGGCTGGTCCCTGAGACAGAGCTGCCGGCCGTCCAGCATGACATGGTGGGGCTCCAGGCGGAGCAGGGTCAGCAGGGCCGTGTCCGTGGGCAAGTCCGTGACAGGCTGCCCCGAGGCCAGCACGGTGGGCTGGCGACAGAGCGGGCACAGCAGGCGGCGCCGGGCCCGAGTCACCAGGCTGAGGTGGGCCAGGCATTCCACGCAGAAGGAGTGGCAGCAGTCCAGCACCTTGGGGGTGTGGAACGTGTTGTTGAAGGGGTTCCAGCAGACAGGGCACTCGGCCTCCAGCGGCCGGCCCTGCTGCTCCGCCATGCCCAGGCGACTGCCCCGCAGGTGTCCTGGCAGAGAGGAAAAAGGGGCAAAGGAACACCGGTAAGCGCGCTCCCTGCGCTCTGACTGAGGCTAGGAACCCTGTGGATGTTCAAAGATATCACCCACAGGCGACAGATGAGAAGGCAGCTTCAAAGCGTTTTGTTCTAGATCACCCCGTTCCTAAGCCATTGAGTGAGTCTCCCCAGCATCGGGGCAGGGCTGAGCCACCCGCACCAGCAGCACCGGAAGCAGCTGGCCTGAGAGGAGACGGATGTCCCCCGGACTTCAGAGATGCAGAGAGATGGCCCTGGAGCTCCCTGTGTCTGCCCTTGGCCGCTCTGAATCCAGGGAGAAGGGGAGTGAGGCACAGTCAGCTCCTTCCTGGCCGCCTTAAATCCCTCACCAGTGCAGCCATGGGCTACATGAATCTTCTGGTCCCCTCGGTGGGACCAGTGCAGGCCCTCTCTCTCAGCCCCTAGGGCCAGAGGGGCAACCCTTCGGAGCTGGCTCCCGGGGCCCCTGCCTGGCAAGGGGACCCATTGTCCGATGTTTCTCCTTGACCTAGAAGCCTTGAAGAGATTCCCTGCCCGGGTCCCCAGATCAGCCCCAGTGCGTCTCCCCTGGACTCAGCCACACACCCCCACCCCCTCCATCCCTTTGTCCTGAGAAACCTTCTGGGCACCCACCTGGGCTTCCGTGGGCTCCAGTGGTCGGGCAGACTACACTGAAGGTCTGGGGCTCTTGCCTCTCCCTCTCCTGAACCTGAACCTGCAATGCTTTGGGAAACTGCTTTCTTTCTCGTCACCAACCCCGAGGCTGTCTCCATGGCAGCACCCGCACAGCACCTGGGGCTGCCAGGTGGCCCCGGCTGCAGCCTCTAGAGCACACCTACCTGGAGCCAAGGCCAGGGAGCGGCCTGGGTGGTGGGGTGGGGATGTGGGGGACCTGAGTCCCTCCCAGGGCGTGGCAACCCACGGGACCTGGAAGCCGAGCTATCTGTATGTTCCAGGGGCTGTCCCTTCAGACGGGAAATCCCTGGCCTGAGAGGTAGGCGTAGTGACTTCCTCCTCTCAAGGCAGGAGGGTGAGTCTTCTGGGCTTCCTCTCTCCTGGGCCCTCATCACTTTTCTAGGATAGCCAGAGCCGCCTCCTCCTTGCACAAAGGGGCTGCCTGCTCTGCACTTCGATTGCTGTGAAATGTTCTCCAACACCTAAACGCTCTGAATATCTGATCCGGGCCCCTTCTGCGGAGAGGTCCAGTCCAAGACTTGGCCATCTCCCCAAACTTGCAGACTCAGAGGAGGAAGCTGGAGAGGAGCGCTGCATCCCTGCTTCCCCATTGCACCCAGAAACATGTGACCTTTATCTGATTCTCTTATCGGTCATTTGAAAAGTTTAAAGAGTTGAGCTTCTGGGGTGGGAGGGGGGTATATTCAACTAGGGCCACTTATTCCTCCTAAATATTCACTTTGCAGATGGGCCAGGAGAGGTGACTCACCCAGAGTCACCCAACTGGTCAAGGTCAACACTGGGCCCTGTGCCTTTGAACGCCTACTCCACCTCCACGCCGCCGTCATGAAGTCAGTGCACCTGCTGGATGCACGTGTTTGGAGCTAGACAGTGCTGTATTTGACCAGGAGGAATCCAGGCGCTGTACCCCCGGGGAGTGGGCGGTGGCTGGCCCCTGGGCCCTAAAGAAAAACCTACTTACAGTCTCTCTTCCCTGGGGCTGTTCCTCTAGGCCTGACACTGCTCTGAACAGGGAAAAGGAGACAAGACAGGCGGAGGGAGAGGACACAGCCCTCACCAAAGCTAGCTTGGTTCACCCAGGATCCACGCCTTATTCTGCGTACCAGGCGTCCAGGCAGCAGTCACTGGGGGCTTACTGTGTGCTAGGCATTGAGTAAACCAGGAAAAAAATTTGACGTCATCCATGACCTCACAGCCCTTCAGGGTCAGGTGAAGCAAGGAGATATTTAATGAGGAATGGGCGGGGCCGGCACTGTGGAGCAGTGGGTTAAAGCCCTGGCCTGAAGCACCGGCATCCTATATGGGCACTGGTTCTAGTCCCAGCTGCTCCTCTTCCGATTTGGCTCTCTGCTATGGCCTGGGAAAGCAGTAGAAGGCGGCCCAAGTCCTTGGACCCCTGCACCCACATGGGAGACCCGGAGGAGACTCCTGGCTTCTGGCTTTGGATCGGCACAGCTCTGGCCATAGCAGTCGTCTGAGGAGTGAACCAGTGGATGGAAGACCTCTCTCTATATATATATTTCTCTGTAACTCTGCCTTTCAAATAAATAAAATAAATCTTAAACAATAAGTAAGTACTAAGTTATGCACGCTGTAAAGGCCCACAGGGAAAACAGGCTTGAGGGGCTGCCTGCTTATGAGGAGACCACCAGGGACGATTTCTCCCAAGGGTGCCCTGAAAGCTGAGACTGAAGGATGCAAGGAACCCAGGGGTGCAGAGAGGGGAGGGAGAGCATCTCGGGTCCAGGGAACAGCATCTGACAAAGGGCAGAGGTGAGGAAGCGGAAGGCAGCCGGGGTGCCCCAGGCATGGAGAGCGGGACTGGGCTGGGCACGTGGCTCGGGATTAAGGCGGAGAGGTAGGAGGCAGGACCTGTGCGTGCAGGGACTTCTCTCTGGATTTTATCTGGGGAGTGGGCGGGTGACCTGCTCCTGTTTCCATTACTAAAACAGCAGAGCAGAGGACAGACTGAAAAGGGACGAGAGTGGACATGGATGAGCAGCGAAGGGCCCTAGCAGTGTGGTCCAGGGCTGTGAGGTCATGGATGATGTCTGTAGGTCGGGAGTTGGTGGCGAAGATAGAAGAGGATGGTGCAAAAGAGATCCCTGGAGACAGAATCAAAACCACTTTCTAAGAAGCAGTGGGCTTCTTGGGAATCAGGTTGTCCAAGTTCATGATCCCAGACGCACTGCTTATTAGGGCTATCTATGACTGATTCCAGTCACATCACTTAACCTCTATGGGCCTTCGTTTCCTCTTGCAAAAAGGAAGGTAAAAGTAATAAAGCTTTTAGATAGAGCCCGAGCAGGGAGGGTAAAGCCTTTAGCTAGAGCCTGGCACCCAGGAAAGTCTTAAATATGAGGCGGCCAGCATTACTGCTGCAAATGGACTTGAGAGAGAGGTAGGGTCACAGTTACCTTCAAAGCCATGGAAACATTTTCTGCACGGAGCTTGAAGGAGCACTTGGATTGCAGAGTGTGTGTCAGAAGCTGCCTGCTAATATTTCTCAAAAGTCTTAGCATGGGGCCGGCATTGTGGCGTAGCAGGTGAAGCTGCCGCCTGCCGTGCCAGCATCCCATATGGGTGCCGGTTTGAGTCCCGGCTGCTCCATTTCCAATCCAGCTCTCTGCTGTGGCCTGAGAAAGCAGCAGAAGATGGCCCAAATCCTTGGGCCCCTGCACCTGCGTGGGAGACCCAGAAGAAACTCCTGGCTCCTGGTTTCAAATCAGCGCAGTTCTGGCCATTGTGGCCATCTGCAGAATGAACCAGTGGATGGAAGACCGACCGACCTCTCTCTCTCTCTCTCTCTCTCTTTCTCTCTGCCTCTGCCTCTCTGTAACTCCACCTTTCAAACAAATAAGTAAATCTTTAAAAAAAAAAAAAAAAGCCTTAGCATGTACATAACCCTGACGCAGCAGTCCCCTCACTGGGGATCTAGCCATGGAAATAATCAAAGATGTGATTACGAAGAAGCCCAAGGAGGCCCTGGCCCAGTGAAGCACAGAGAACAACCTCGTTAGCCAATAATCGGGCATTAACAAGGGGGTTCTGCTCCATCCTCAAGAAGAGACGTTCTGCAGCCTTCGGAATGATGTGATAAAACACCTATTAACATAGAAATCTGCCTCTAATATAATGTCATTAAGTGAAAAAGAACCAGTAATAAAACCAAATTACAACACAATCCAATTTTCAAAAACATGAACCCAATAGAAAAAAGATCTGGAAAGATAAACTACCAGATGTTCACAGTGGTTACCTCTGGGGGCAAGATTATAGGCTTGGACTTCTCCGCACCCCCGTCTCCCCCCACCCAGTTCTCTTCTCTGGAATTTCTGACTTTACTGCCGCACGCTTGTCTTGCTACCCTTACATGTCTCTCCTCCTGCTGCGGATCAGAACCACGTTCTCGAAGCCGCATGGCCAAAGCTGCAGAGTTCGGTTCAGTTTCAGGGCAGGGATGATCACGAGCGCCCGCAGGCACTCCCTGTGTTTGCAGCTGGTTGGAGTCCTGTCTCTCCAGGAGAGACTCTGGCTGTGTATGGACCCCACCCTCCCACCCACACCTTCAAGCCAGGACATCTCAGCTGCAGAGAATTCCGGGCACCACCCCCAAAGCCCTCACCTCGGGTTATGAGCGAGTCATCACCAGACAGTAGCTGCAGCCTCAGCCCAGGGCTTTCCACCCCAAGCTGGTAGAGAGGGAGAATTGGCATATTTCTAGAACCTTCCTGTCCTCGCCAGGACCTAAGTGTGGCAGCATATCCAGAGAGGATAATGTTGCCTTTTACCACCTTTCCTCTTTACGTAGGCCGTTTGATCCTCTCACACGCCTCTGTGCCAGAGGCAGAACCGGGGAGTGGAAAGCCTTCAGGCGTTGAAACTTCCATGCTGGTCTTGCACAAACAGCTGGGCCCCTCTCTTAGCTTCCTTTTCCTCCTCCAAAGAGACTGTGAGGAAGGAGTCATCTATGCGTCCAGCAGAACGCAGCGAGTGCTTGGTACCCAGCAGGATTATTTTGGTGCCCATTTGTTCCCAGATGGGGAGGCCACGATGGGCAAGTGGCTTACCCCAGGCTTCACAGCTCAAAGATGCCTGCTGGGGCCCGCCTCCCGGAGCTCACCCTCTGGGGCCCAGAACCGGTCCCTCCGTGACCCCCTCGGCTCCTTACCTGCTCCCTCCAGTCGCCTCCTTCTGCCCTTAGCCAGTGCAGCAAGGGCTTGGGCTCTGGTTTCCTGGCAGCTGGGGGCGGATCTGATTTGCAGCTCTTGGCCAGCTGTCTCTGTTTCAGGTTCACCTCGTCTTCCTTTGGACGACTTTGGACTGTCTGCCACACCCCGCGAGCTACGGGCTCCTGTCTTCCCCCAGTGAGTCACTCTTGGTTCTCCGCGGGGGTCTGAGTGCACTCACCCTTACAGACCTCCATCCCGTCCCGCTGGGTCGGCCTGCTGCCATCACTTCCGCAACCTGGGCTGACCTGCCATCACTGGAAGGCCAGGCATCTCTAAGGCCTCTTTTGCCCACAGTCCAGACGGAGCCTTCCAACCTCAGAGTCCCTACAGCCCGAACACAAAGAGTTCTTGGGAAATATGGAGAAAAGGCCATCAGTCCTCAGAAAGTTCATGGTTAGAGAGAAAGTAGTGATGCACAGTCGGGCAAAAGCAGGGAGAGCCAGGGTTCTCCGGCAGGGCAGCCTTCCAGGTCAGAGCTGGGACCTCGCTCCAACTCCACACTCTACCCACTAGTAATGGAGACCTGAGCGCGTGAGGTGACGCCTCCGTGCCTCAGTTTCCTCTCCTAAAATGGGCATGAAGACCCACCTGCTTGATCTGCAGTTTAAATGAGATAATCCACGCAGAGATGGAACACGGTGCCTGGCACACCGTAACATACATGCTGACCACACCTGTTATTTTTATATCATCAGGCAAATCCCAGAAAGAAAGGAATGCAAACGAGTTTGCTTATTCACTCAAGAACTCCTGAGAGGCAAGTGTAGAGAGCAGGGCTGGCAGCCAGGCTGTGCCGTGGTGCCAACGGCCTCGCCACCTTCCGAAAGTGAGCTCACGTGACCCATCCCACAGCCTCGCCACATGACAGTCCTCTCTTTATTCCTTTACTGATCTCTTGGACGGCATTTGGAGAACAGGCAGAAATAAATACAGGCAGATATCCAGCTGGTAATATAATCAAGTGTCCGGAAGTGCCCGCCCCATTTTATGATTCTTAAAGGTTATTTTAGGGGCCAGCACTGAGACGCGATGGGTAAATTGCTGCCTGTGTCGCCGGCATCCCAGATGAGTCCCGGCTGCTCCACTTCGATCCAGCTCCCTGCTAACGCACCGGGGAAAGCAGAGGAGGGTGGCCCAAGTGCTTAGGCCCCTGCATCCACACGGGAGACACAGAAGAAGCTCCTGGCTCCTGGCTTCGGATCTGCTCAGCTGTGGCCATTGTGGCCATTTGGAACCAGCAAATGGAAGACCTCTCTCTCTCTCACACACTCTCTTACACACACACTCTCTCTGTGTGTGTGTAACTCTGCCTTTCAAATAAATAAGTAAGTCTTTTTAAAAAATAGGAAAAAATTGCAGGATTCATGCATGGTTTTTAAAAAAATTAATATTATTTTACTTTAGAGTAAGTAATACACGTGCATGGCTCAGCGTGTGAAAGGTGTGATTTTGCAGTGAAAACGTTCTTTTCCCAGCCACCTAATGTCCCTGGAAACGAAAAGTTATAGCATCAGTTTCTTATGCACATTTCCAAAGATGTTTTATGCCCCCCCCAGACGTCCATGGCAAAATGTCGATGTATTCCTTTTCTTCCTCTTTATCCAAACGTGTATATTGTAGATGCTGCCCGGGCCTCTCTCACATATATCTGAGACGTCCTTCTGTATTGGTACCCAGAGAGATTGTAATGCTTGTATCATAGTCGTCAGCTGGCTGTACCGTAATAACCAATACCCTATTAACCAAAACTCTTCATTTTTTAAAAATATTTTTATTTATTTATTTGACAGGTAGAGTTACAGACAATGAGAGAGAGAGAGACAGAGAGAAAGGTCTTCCTTCCATTGGTTCACCCCCCAAATGGCTGCTACGGCCAGAGCCACACCAATCCAAAGCCAGGAGCCAGGAGCCAGGAGCCAGGTGCTTCCTCCTGGTCTCCCATGCAGGTGCAGGGCCCAAGCACTTGGGCCATCCTCCACTGTCCTCCCGGGCCACAGCAGAGAGCTGGACTGGAAGAGGAGCAACCAGGACTAGAACCCGGCGCCCATATGGGATCCCGGCACCTCAGGTAGAGGGTTAACCTAGTGAGCCACGGCGCCGGCCCCAAAACTCTTCATTTTAAATATAGAAATATTGGGCGAGAGGATAAACGATGAGATAACTACAGGTTTTAGGTTAGCCTAGAATTGTGGGAACATAAAATCTTGGCCTTCGGACGGTTTTAGATCTCCAAAACAGATCTCTAAGCACATCTGCACCTCTTTCTGAGCTGGAAACGGAGGGATGTGACAGGCGTAGCCCCCACGTTCCTCCCACTTCTGGAAGTCTCTGCTTTCTAGTTTCAATGCTGCTTGACCAAGGATTCCAGACACCAATTTCTGGAATTGTCCAAAGGATCCACTGTTTATCTAAGAGTTTGGAAGGCAGCTTTTTGGTCTGGCAACGCTGCTGCAAAACCATGCACAAGTCCATATACTTTGACCTAACAATACAGTTCCCCGGAAGCATCCACAAGCTACCTTTTGGTTGAGTGATGATGTTCACTGCAGTTTTACTTTAACCAGAAATGATTAATAACAACCCCAAAGCCCATCTCTTACGTGGAAAATTACATGATCATTTAAAATGATGTAGTGGAAGAATTTTTATTGACTTGTAAAGTGGTCACGGTGTACTATAAATGGAGAGGCAGCAGTTTGCAAAGTGTTGGATGTAACGTGAGCCAGAGTTTGTAAAGTGAAATACACGTAGACTGAGAGGCCAGGGCAGGCATCTGGCACTGTGGCTGAGTTGCTACTTGGGACACCCACATCCCCTATTAGAGAGCCTGGTTCAAGTCCCAACTCTTCCACTTCTTCTTTTCTTTAAGAGTTTTTTTTTATTTTTATTTTTAATTCATTTTAAAGACAGAGTTAGAGAGAGAGAGAGACAGAGAGATATCTTCCATCTGCTGGCTCACTTCCCCAACAGCCAGGATTGGGCCAGGCCAAAGCCAGAAGTCATGAGCTTCATCCGGGTCTCCCACATGGGTAGCAGGAGCCCAAACTCTTGGGCCATTTTCCACTGCTTTTCCCAAGGCCATTAACACAGAGCTGGACTGGAAGTGGAGCATCTAGGACTCGAACCAGCACCCATATGGGATGCCAACATCACAAGCGGCAGCTTTACCCACTATACCA